TCTTCGCATCAGTCTTCAGTGCAGGGGATGCAAGGAGATTCCCACACCTGAGCCATTCTTTTTAGGTGACAAATCTGAGGAACTTTCCCAGATTGAGGTGTCAATAGAGGAAATTTTGGAACAAACAAATTAACCAGTAATGTGTCACCAGAACCAGATGGTATCCACACAAGGTTCAAACTCAAATATGAAATTGCAAAACTATACCGTGGTATGTGACCTATCATTTAAATCAACTTTTATACCAGATGACTGGAGGATAGTGAATGTGACACCAATTTTTTTAAAAAGGTTCCAGATGGGATCCTGACAATTACAGGCCAGTAAGGCGAATTTTAGTACTAGGCAAATTGGTTGAAACTATAGTAAAGAACAGAATTGTCAGACACAAAGATGAACATAATTTGTCAGGGAAGAGTCGACATGGCTTTTGTAAAAGGAAATCATGACTCAACAATCTATTATAATTCTTTGAGGGAGGTCAACAAACTTGTGGACAAGAGTAATCGAGTAGATATAGTGTACTTGGACTTTCAGAATGTCTTTGACAAGGTCCCTCATGAAAGGTTCTTAAGCAAAGAGAGCAGTCATAGGATAAGAGGGAAGGTTCTCTCCTGGATCAGTAACTGGTTAAAAGACAGGAAACAAAGGGTAGGAATACTCAGTCAGTTCTCAGAATGCAGAGAGGTAAATAGTGGTGTCCCCCAGTTATCTGTACTAGAACCCATGCTGTTCAACATATTAATATGATCTGGAAAAAGGGGTAAACAGTGAGCTGGCAAAATTTGCAGACAATACAAAATAACTCAAGATAGTTAAGCCCAAAGCAGACTGTGAAGCATTATAAAGAAATCTCACTAAAGTGGGTGACTGGGCAACATAATGGCAGGTGAAATTCAATGCTGATAAATGCAAAGTAATGCATATTGGAAAAGAATTCCAACTATACATACAAAATGATGGGATCTAAACTAACTGTTACCTGATGGCACTGGCCAGCACAGCCATCCATTATACCAGGAGGAGCAAGCTAGATGAGGGGAGTGAAACTCTATGACTGTGAATCTTATTTCTGTTCCCCTGTTCAGTTATGCCTCCCAGCTAGGGTTGTCAGGCATCCGGTTTTTGACCAGAACATGGGTTGAAAAGGGACCCTGGCTGCTCCAGTCTGCATCGCTAAAAATCCAGTCAGTGGTGCAGCAGGCGACGGCAGGCTCCCTGCCTGCCCTGGCTCCACATGGCTCCCAAAAAGCGGATGGCATATCCCTGTGCCCCCTAGGCTCAGAGGCAGCCAGGGAGGCTCCACGCACTGCCCCTGCCCCCGCCCCCGAGCAGCCAGGGGCAGTGCACAGAGATTCCTGGCTGTGCCTCCACCTAGGAACCAGCAGGGACATACTGGCCGCTTCCGGGAGCCACTTGAGGTAAGAGCCGCATGCAGCCCGCACCCGCTCCCGTGCCCCAACTGCCTGCCCCAGCTCTGAGCTCCTTCCCACACCCAAACACCCTCCCAGAGCCCACACCACTTTCCGCACTGTGAACCCCTCATCCCCAGCTTGGAGCCCCCTGCTGCACCCCAAACCCCTCATCCCCAGCCCCACACACCAGAGCCTGTATCCCCAGCCGGAGCTATTACCCCTGCATACACACCCCAACCCCTGCCCCAGCTCAGAGCCCCCTCCTGCACCCAAACTCCATCTCAGAGCTCCCACCCTGCACCCCTTCCCACACTCCAAACCCCTCAGCCCCAAGCCACCTCCTGCACCCCAAACCCCTCATCACCAGAGCCCACACCTCTAGCCAGAGCCCTCAGCCCCCCTGCCCCAGCCCTCCCCACACCTCCCCCTTGCCCCAGCCCAGAGCCCCCTCCCAGATTCCAAACTCCTTGGCCACACCCTCCATCCCAGAGTCCCCTCCTGCACCCCAAACCCCTCATTCCCTGCCCCACCTCAGAGCCCTCACCCCCCGACCCCACCTTGAGCCTCCTCCCACACCCCAAACCCCAGCCTGGTGAAAATGAGTGAGGGTGGGAGTCAGGGAGTGACAGAGGGAGAGGAGACGGAGTGAGTGCGGGTGGGGCCTCAGAGAAGGGGCAGCGCAAGGCAAGGCAAGGGGGTGTTTGGTTTTCTGAAATCAGAAAGTTTGCAACCCTACTCCCAGCTGAGTTTTTCCTGGACAGTGTCCACTGACTCCTTAGATGCTTCTGAGCAGCACTAGGCACCATTAGTAGTTCTCTGCTTGGTGTCTCCTCTTGTTATCTGATTTTTTACTCTGACCGCCACTCCTGTCCGTGTTTTCCTCATTTATTGTCCCCAGAAATCACTGGTAATCTGTGCTTAGTTGAGGGAGTAGGCCTTTAGTTGCGTGGTCGAAAGCACCTACAACCCTCTAACTTCTACAACAAAGGAGACAGGGGCATCTCAGTAACCATGATAGGTACACAACCCTAATTTATCCTCACCAAATGGCTCTACTTGTTTTTCAAATACTCAAAATGTACAAATTAAGATTTAAACTATTAACATGTAAGTAATTGCAAAGCCAATAAGAAACTAGTAAGTGAGAACTGGCCTGGCCGTTATGTAGCATCTTCTAAAGCAGGGGGTCTCAAACTTTCCAAATTACCACACCCCTTTGAGGAGTCTAATTTGTCTTGCATATCTCAAGTTTCACCTCACTCAAATACTACTTACTAACAAAATCAGACATAAAAATACAAGTGTCACAGCCCATATTACTGAAAAAATTCTTACTTTCTCATTTTTACTACAATTATAAAAATAAATCTATTTCAATATATATAGCGTATAAAGCAATATAAACAAATCATTGTCTGTATTAAATTTTAGTTAACTTTGCTAGTGCTTTTTATGTAGCCTGTTGTAAAACTAGGCAAATATCTAGAGGAGTTGATGCACCCCCAGAAGACCTCTGCAAACCCCATTAATTATATTTTAGGATTATGTGGCAAAAGATGTGCAAAACCCCAGTTGTAAACGCAAATCTCACATCTGGGAGCAGAAAAACCATCAAATAAAAAAATCCCATGAGTCATCACCAGTGCCTCAGAAGCTGTGTTATTTCATTTCAAGTTAAAAATACCCACCCTTGACTGGGTCTCTTTCATGTCTCAGTTAGTTATCCCCCTCTAAGAGCTTGAAAGAAAGCTTATAAAGCATCTTGAACTTTAGCTACATACTTATACCTCCCTCACCTGAACCACAGAATTAGTCAATTAGTATTTTTTTTAAAGCCACCCACCCAGCCCCTGTGGCAAAAAAGCTTTAAAAAAAATCTACACAGCTGGTTGGAAAAGGAGCTACATTCCCTCACCCCCTCTCCCCAGCTGGAGCTGCCCAACCCATCTAGTAACACCAGGGAGTTTTGAGTAGCAGCTGTGTTAGTCTGTATCCACAAAAAGAAAAGGAGAACTTGTGGCACCTTAGAGACTAACAAATTTATTTGAGCATAAGGTTTCGTGAGCTACAGCTCACTACATACATCTGATGAAGTGAGCTGTAGCTCAGAAAAGCTAATGCTCAAATAAATTTGTTAGTCTCCAAGGTGCCACAAGTCCTCCTTTTCTAATTTCGGCTTTGCAAAAGGTAACCCACTCTGTTGTTGCTTTCAACAGAGTTACACAGCATTCCCTCCCCAACCTATGCTCTAATCTGCGCTGCTTGTCTCCTCCCCTACTCTCACTACACTGGCCTAAGCCTCTGTGAGTCAGTATGTCTGGCTGGCTGTCGCTAGGCCCTTCCCCACTCACTCGTTGCTCAATCGCTTTCATACAGACACACCGGATATGAGCTACCAATCCCTGTGCCAAACTACCCTAAGTTACATAAAAGAGAACCACTAAGAAGGCAGCAGCAAACACTGGTGCCTTGTTAACTTAAATTGCTCCAAAGCCACCCGCCCCATTCCGCATATGGCCCTCATTCAGAACGACCCAGCTGTTTTATCTTCAGCGATGGCAGGGTAATTACTCCCTCGAAAAACAGCTACGAGGTGTTTCAGGGCATTTAAAAAAATACTATTGCTTCCCTTTCTGTGTCAGATACGAATGGGCTTTTGTGCATATATATATCACTAGAGGCTGCTGGACCTAAAGTAAAGCCACGGTTCCTGGTCTGTTTCTTTGTGTAATTTAAAACCAGATTTACTTTTACAACCTAAACCACGAGGAACGCTCCGTCCTTAATTCAAACACTGTTACACGGTGTTGAGAGTGAGTGCACAGGGGCTAGCTTGCTTTCCCTGCTAAAGTTCAAGCAGAGATGAGCCTCTTGAATTCCTCGTCTCCCACGTTTTATGCGAATGCTTTTATTTGTCCTGACCAAACAAAATCCAATTTTGGAACCGCCGAAGGAAGAGCACAAAGGAACTCCGGGAAAGCAGCCTTTGCTATTTTACGAGCTGGAGCCAGCTCCCATTTCAGTCAATGGAAAGACCTGGCGGTGGGGGAATGGATTGAGCCCTACAGGAACAACTAGCTCCAATTCCAGCATGTCTCATCTCAGAGTCAGACTCAGAGCAAAATAAACTGTTGCTGGACCACGTGATTACTTAAAGAGGAATGAGTCGCGCTGGTTTTTAAAAACCCACGAGCGAGCGTGTCTCGTTGAAACGCACAGCAAAGCCCATCAAAAAAAAAAAGTGAAAACAAAACAAAAAAACACCTTTAAAAACCGGTTTAAAATAACCTCAGCAGGAGAGAATCTTCTTTCACCTGACAAACCCGAACGAAGGGGGACTTTCTGTGTTGTGTTTGTTCCTCAAAAAATAGTAGGCTGGACTGGGGGGGGGAGGAGAGGGAGAAACAACCCCGAGGCCACCAAATCCGTGGGGGCCAAGGGTCTGGATTATTTACCGGATGAGCTGCTAAAGACGCGTCGCCCCGCTTCCAGTAAGGGCAGCCACAGCTGGGGGCTGGCTGGGACGAGCGAACTGCAGCGCGCTGAATCAGAGCACGCCACGCTGCGGCGCGCCCCGTGATTGAGAAGTTCGAAAGCATGTGAGAATGACCGTGTGTCTCGGGCTGCGGCGTGCCAGGAACTTCGAAACTGCCCCGCAAGCCCATCAGCATCATAACAAGGCGGCTCCAACCATAACAACCCCCGAGCAGAAGAAGGAGCAAAAGAGCCTCTTGGCGTCTTGGGGGGGGGTCCCCTCCCCCCCTTTTTTTTTTGGTCTGAAACTAGTCCGTGGGGGTGGGGAGGAAGAGCGGGGCTTGTTCAGTGCTATGCTAATCTTTTAAGCGCTCTTTTCTTGCTCTACCCTGCTTTTCTTTCTTCTCCATTCGCTTCACCCTAAGGAATGGGTGGCTCATCCGGCAGCAACAGGAGGAGGCTAAGTCAGGGGCAGCTGTCAAAATCCTCCTCCCCCGCCCCCTTCCCAGTTTAATGATCAAACGCCTGGCTGGGAAGAAAGGCAGGAACCAGGAGGCGCAGAGGCTCTGCCCTGCACTGTCATATCACACGCTCCGTTGTGTGAGTGTGTGTGTGAGAGAGAGTATCCCCTCTCTCCCTCCCCTCCTCTGACAACCGTCTCCGCAGCCAGGGAGGAGGAGGAGGCAAAGCGGCTATTGCTCTGTTACTCTCTCACTTACTCATTGCTGAAAGGTGGGCGGAGGGTACCTTTCCCCCTGGTGCCTTTTCTCACGTTGACAAGCTGGGGCCCAGCACCGGAGGGGGGGGGGGGGGGAAGAACAAAGACAGAAGAGGAGGGAAAGCACTAAATCCGGACCAAACATCCCAGGCAGAAGGAAGCTGTCAGCTGGCGGTGACACAACACACAGCCCATTGAAGCGCCCTGGTTAGCAGCCACGGCTGGAAAGGGAGCCCTCTGCCCGCCTTCCAAGTTGCAAAGCGGGGATTGCTCCGCACGCAAGAAAAGGCAACTTGATTTGTGCGTGCGGTGCCCGTTGGGTAGCAAGCCTCGCCAGCTGGTGCGGTCCGCGGCTCGAGACCACGATGAAAAGTAAAAAAGGTAGGGAGGGGTGCGTGCGTGCGAGGGTGAGAGAGACAGAGTGATTTGATTCCTCGGCGTGCTGTGGCGAAACCTGGATGGGAAAGTGGAAAGCATGTTACTTTCGCCATTTGGAAATAACAGGCGTGTGGTTTAAACTTCACTGCAGTTTGATTTGGCTTATTAAATAAAGTGGAACCGGTTTTCTTCTCGCACCCCCCCCCGCTTTTTTTCTTTCTAAGCTGGTCCCTTTCCTCTTTGTTGAGCTCATGTCTGAAATGGCAGTTGATAATGTTTCACTTCCAGACAAAACACGAGGGGCTGTTTGGACGCTGCTTTCTTTCCATGCTGCTTGGCTCCCTGTCAAAAACCTGGTCAACTGCCTGCTTTGTCCCCAACAAAGTTTTATTTTCGCTTTTTTTTTAACAGCCTTTTTCTTCCCTCTTTCCTCCTCACCCTAATTTCCCCAGTCCGGTCCCCAAGGACGGGACTGGAATTGTTTTCACAACTTTAAAAAACAAATCCCAACCCAAATACAACTCTCTGAGCAATGCAGTCTGAACAACGGGGTGGCAGGAGCTCTTTGTTTGCGAGTTAGCGTGGGGAAAGGGGACAAAAGCGAGGGGCTGTAGGAGAATTTAAAGTGAGTTTTTTTTAATCGATCTGCAAATTTATCTCCAGCCTTTTGATCAAAGACTTTTCTTTCTTTCTTTCTTTTCTTTTTTGGAAAAGACTAAAAGTAAAGTGATTTAAAAACTTACCCACCACGTGGCGGGGAAGCAGCAAAAAAGACGTTTGAAAAACTTTTCATTGGTGTTACTTACGTAATTACCACTTGGACAGACTTTATAATCAAGGGATTGTCAGTATTTCCATCTGTAGTCCTCTGAGTATCTTGGAACCTTAAACGTGGCTGCGAAGAATTGGAAAACATTTTAAAAATTTGTTAGTCTCCAAGGTGCCACAAGTACTCCTTTTCATTTTGAAAACGTGGCTGCTGTTAAAAAAAAACATTTCGGATGTTTGTTTCCTCCTCAGTTCCCCCTCTTCTCATTTTTAAGGGCTAATCAGTCATGTAGATTAATGAATTTTTTCTATTTAAAGACCTTTAAAATATCCGAGATACTGAGAGTTTAAAAAGCAGCACTGCGCATGTTTACTACTCTAGAGCAGTGGTGTTTTTCCTGCTACAGGCTCTTGTGGTTCAAGAGTACAGAAATCTACTTCATTGTTAATGTTCCTGGAGCCATCAGAGTATGTGTTTATATACACCTATTAAGCACCTTCTGAATTCTTGGTGTATAATTTAGGATGTGCTCTAATATAGTTTGTAGTTCTCATAAGTAATCTTGGACTATACTGATTTAAAACAAAACATACAAAGGAAATTCAGCCCCAAAGGCAAAGTTTAGACAACAATCAGTGCGGGTCCTGTTTACACTCTCAAAAAAGCAAGGAATTCAGAGTTAAAACCGAAACTTTGTATTTATATAACCCACCCTCCCTGCCAAATATTTCAGTGTTCTCCTAACTGGAGTGATTTTAGATAACAACACGTGTTGCATACCAAGCCCAGCCCTCTGTACCTAGAGACAGTTACAGCCTTGACTCTAGATTTTCCCATTTTTGTAGATTTGTTCAGATTGTTACGGTTACTGGAGGTATATGGTTTTACTGAATTATTTAGACTAGTTATTTTTAGAACATTCCTGTGCTCCCTATTTGCACAGTAGTGGTGATGAGTTGGCTTCCTGTCTGCTGCTGCTTCCATTGTTCAGATTCCTCTCCCGGAGGGCAGCTACTGGTTGTCTAAATACCAACTTCACACACTTCCAACTCTTATTGTCATCTCCCTCCAAACTAAATATGTGTGAAAAATGCTGACGAGGTTACCATGTCTGCCTATGTATTTCTCTCAGTGTGTAATCTGCCTTGTGATTTGGGAGTTCTGCACTGCAACAATGAAAGGCGGCATGTTGGAAGGCAAACCTTTGAGACAGAAGACCATTGGTTTAGAGTTTATGTGGCAGAAATTAGGAAGTGAGAAGAAACTCAAAGATGCATGGAAACTTTTCAAGGAAGTTAGGACAATGATTTCTGTTGGTTTTTTTTAATTAAAGGCTTGCAGTTTGCATTTGTGGCCTGTATTTTGATACTCAAGTTTCAGAGCATGACCTGATTTCAGATTTCTTTCTTGTAGTCTAAAAAAAATTAAAATTTGTTTTCTATAGTTACAGCCAAGTTTGCCTACTCTGTGAAACCAGTAAAGCTCAAGCAACTCAGAGGAAAGAAAACTGGTTCTTCCACTTGTAAAATCACATTTAAAGAAAAAGGAAAACTTTTCTAATTTTCTGCTATGGAAAATTCCCTTACACATCCCCATAGCTCCTGTGTCTGATCTGGTTAATTATCAATACTATTTAACTTGATTTTTTTTAAAAAAGATTCACAAACCTTTAACTAAAGTTCCTTTCCAAATTGCTATATCTTAAGTTAAATCCCTTAAACCTCTTCCCGTGGGTGGCAAAAGTTTATTTCTTAAATAATAAAAATTATCAGGGTACACTTACTCTATAGGCTGGTATGTTTTTACATATTAATGACATATTCATACCATCTGTTATTTCTGGCCTAGCCAGTTATTTCCATGTTCTTTATGGTGTACCTGTTAAGTCCTAAAGACTATATGAAGTTAGGTAGCCCCTACCTATACTAGCTTCCTTTTAACCATCCTCACTTATCTGTATTAAAGGTCACAAACAAACATACATACATATATATACTTTGTTTTAGCTCATCATCACCTATCTAGGCTAACAGTCTCAAACATATGTATGGTTTCAGAGGAACAGCCGTGTTAGTCTGTATTCGCAAAAAGAAAAGGAGTACTTGTGGCACCTTAGAGACTAACCAATTTATTTGAGCATGAGCTTAAAGCTCATGCTCAAATAAATTGGTTAGTCTCTAAGGTGCCACAAGTACTCCTTTTCTTTTTGCAAACATATGTATGCTAACTTGTATTAGTTCAGCATGCAGGATGCGGTCTGCAGGTTCCTTGCATTACAGCCAGAAATACTCTTAATACAAATTTATAATCCTATTATAAAACAAATAATCAAACCCATAAGAAAAAATATATTAGCAGGCAGGCTAGCCCCTATAAGCTACACTTGCTAGTTAGCTATTGTAGTCTCCAATCCTGCAAAGACATAGCCCTGTTGAAGATTATGCATGTGTAGTCCTAGTGAAGTCAATTACAGGAAGATTGGGGGCTTTTTAGATTGGAAATAATATCTAGATATATACATGTAAAACCCAACCAAAGAAATTCACAGAAACATAAAAATTGAGCTAGAAAATCCATGAGCTGATCTAATCTATTCCTTCTGCCAAAGGAGACTGTGCCTTGCAGTATACTTATTCAGTTTCAAGTGATTCAAACAATTGGTTTCTACCAGTTCTCTTGTGAAGCTCTGCCATAATACAAGAGGATATTTTTACTGATATTCAGCCTAAATTTTAATTTTCTTAACTTCATTCCATTTCTCCTAGTTAAGGCCCCAATCCATCCCAAATAATTCTTTCTCCTTTTTGGTGTTCATACCTTATAAGTACTGATAGTTTTTTCCATATCAACTTTAGTTATCATTTTGAAAAACTATGCACATAATTTTTTTCCCTCATCAGATTTATGCCTCCAGGCCTTTTAACCAGGAAGCTTTAACTGAATTCTTTCCTGTTATTTAGTATCATCCAGATATTGAGGTGCTCAGAATTTTATGCAGTGTTCAAGGCATGATCTCACTAGCAATGAACAAGAAAGGGACCTAGGAACTCTTTGGCCTGTGATGTCATGCATGCATGTATGTATGTATGTATGTTAAATTCTCTACATACTGCAAGACTAGAAGCTGGGTGCAGGTAAATCAATTCACATTATATAAAAGAGAGGGGGCCTGCTGATCCTACAACCTTTAGGAATAGTCTTCACTAAAATCAGTGAAATTATTTTTGTATGAATAAGGACTGCTTATCTGAGTAAACCTTATAGAATTAGAACCAGTGTCACTTCTTAGGTCCAGTTTACATACAGTGCACCAGTTCAGTTTAAGTAGTGCAAAACACTCTGTAGACATTCTTGCATCAGTTTAAGAGGGGCTTATTTTAGTTTAAACATATAATCAACTGAAGCTAACTTGTAAAAGCCTGATTTAAACAGAAATAAGTGTCCACAAAGCCTTTTATACCAGTATAACAGAATCAGTTTAAAATTCACAACTTAAAAATAAAATGGAGGTATTCTGCATGTAGAGAAGCCCTTATTCTGGGTTTGTAAATAACAGTAAATGGTCCAGACATGGAGCTTAGGTGGGAAGCCTTTCAACTGGGCCCTGCTAAAGAGGAAACCAAAAGCATATAGTCTGATTACTAACAAGAAGGAAAAACAAAGCTGAGTTGCAATCAGCGTGAATGTTCTAATGAAAACAGAGGTTTGACAGCAACAACGTGGCTTCTGCTATAGTAGAGTATCAGCTGAGGTTGTATGAGATCTACAGCCTTAACTTCCTGTTGCTACAGCTTCCGCACATGCCGTTGGAGATGTTTGTTAAAGGTTCAGAGGTCTGGGGCTCTTTTATTTAAATGAGCTCATTTGAATGAGAAGCTGCAATGCCCTTTGTTCCTGTTTAACCAAAACCTGTTTTGTGTCATAAAATTGAGGGAACACGGCACACTAAGGAAGCAGCTCAAAGGGCAGACTCCAGTGTTGTTTCATATCTTTTTTCATTACTGTGTTACAGTTAGGAAACTTACAGTTGTTTGAAGGGCATCTTTATTTTATTATATTTTTAAAAAAAGAAATGTGATCTCAGAAAGATTGCATTTGCAACAAATATTTTTGGTGGTTGGTTTTTTGGGTAAATCTTTATGTCAAATTTTAGCAGCAGGTAAAGAACAATGGTTCCAAACCTAAACCTTTGTTATCAAAGCAGAGCTCTGGTCTTACTGTTTAGAAAGAAGCTTTGCATGGAATGTTTACTTAACCTAGAGAGTTTAATCTCAAATGATTTTTATATAACCGCACTTATGAATGTAAATTTACTCTTGTGAGGAGGCACACTGGCTGCAACTCCTTGGTTCCTACTTTGCACCATAGCTGTGCCTTCAGCTCCTTCATTTCTGCTTTTCACTATTGTCTTTTCCTGTCTCCCAAGGTCTCTGTTTTGATAAGTGGCTCTGTAGTCTAATGTTTTATTATCCTCTTAAAAAAATCAGTGCAGCAACATTTTTAATCTGCCCCAAGCAAAGACAGCAATGTTTGGAACATTAGGTAAATTCATAGATTCCAAGGCCAAAAGGGACTATTATGATCATCTATTCAGACCTTCTGCATAGCACAGGCCATAAAACTTCCCCCAAAATAATTCCTAGAGCAGATCTTTTAGAAAAGCATCCAGTCTTGATTTAAAAATTGTCAGGGGATGGAGAATCCACAACAACCCTTGGTAAATTGCACCAATGGTTAATACTCTCACTGTTAAACATTTAAAAGCGCCTTATTTCCAGTCTGAATTTGTGTAGCTTCAACTTCAAGTCATGGGATTGTGCTATACCTTTCTCTGAATTCTGTAAACTAATTTTAGCTACTCATATGTCTACTTTACAGTTAGTGAACTGCTGTGTTGAGCCATCATAACTTACTTTTCAAGCAAAGTAATATTTTAATGTGAAGCTATTAGGGTCCTGATAGATTTCCATCCCGCCGCCCTTGAAAATACCACATACATGCACTTCTGAAATACAATTCAGAATTTACCGTTAGTTGGTTATTTAAATTACCTGTCATTGTTTTTGTTCCCTGACTGGATAACTTATGTAACTAAGCATCATAGGGCAAATTGTATATTCAACTGTAACATTCAGAGTGTTGGTTAGTTACATAAATCATCCAGACAGGAAACAGAAACATTACCCCACAAGTTACTTAAGTAACCACCACAGACTGAATTGTGAATATTTTTATTAACAAAAAAATTCCCTGGATAAATCTGAATAATTGCAAATGACAAATTCAAGAATACTGTGAGTTGCTCGTGACTAGAGATAAGGCAAAATTTCAAATGCTTAACTCTGTCACACTGCATTTGTGCATTTCGTAGGTATCTGTGAAAGTACTATGCAAAAACTCACAACTAGTTCTCTCTTTTGGGTCTGACATCAATTGCCATTAAATCTTTAAGTATGACCATAAATGTAGAGTTTCATAGTTGTATTTTTTCACAGGCATGGCTTCCATTTTAATAGAACTGATCTTTTTTTCTAGTTTAAGTATTAGTTTTGAAATTTGGACAGCTGCCCATATGAAGCCTTTCTGCCTGGTGTTTAACTTTGCTTGCTATTATAAAAGTGAAAGTTTCTTCTCTTTTTTAAATGAAATGGATGTTCAAACTAACTTAAAAGTGATTTAGGGCCTCGTTTTCCTTTTGTCATTTCTAGAAAATGCTTTTGAAACCTACTGTGAATCAAAAAAACTTCTGAACTGTGCTAGCTGAATCTAATGGTATCTGTGATTTAGATTTATATATGGTTTGTAAGATTCCTAAAATTTCTGGTGGGATTAAAGTACTTAAAGCCAAAGCAAAGTTTCCTTTGTGGACTTCAGTGCTATTGGTTTTGTTTCCTCAGTCACACTGTACACTTTACTAAAAGAGCAGAATTGCAGCCCGTTGTTCAGCCACAGAATATGAAGTAGTTGATTGTTCACATATTGTAGTTCCAAATTATTAGTAATATGGTTTACTGCATTAATTATAGAAGACAGAGACTAAATGAGATATTGAAATAAATTCCTTCTCTGTGGGAGAAAAATGTGCAGTAAAACTGTAAATCTAGAGTCCTTGCAGTAAACATATGTCAAAATCTGAATAAGTACACTACTTGAAGTGTGAGGAAAACTATAAGGTTCAAAGCATAGGTAATTAGGGCAAAGTTGAAGTGTGGCATGTTCTCTAGAAAAATAAATGATAGCAATTCTATACTACCTTGTGGCACTATTTAGGCACTTACTGTTACCTTGCTGTACACTTTTTCCTCAGTGAGTGAATTTTGTGTCACTTTAGAAGAACCAGCCACAACTTGCTTTCTGTTCTTTTCCTGTGTCATTCATTTTTATTAATAATTCTGGAAAGCGCTGTTAACATTTTAAACCTATAAAGCTATCCTTAATCAGAAGGAGACACACCAGCATGTTAAATTGTAATTCAATACAGCCAAGGTTTAGGTTGGGTGTATGTTTTGAAATTCTTTTCTATTGGCTTTTTGCCTAGCCATGAAACAGCCTTGAAGAAAAAAGATTGTTGGAGGCATACCACAGTAGCACCCTTTGCTGACCAACATTTGGCATGATATTGGCATCAGATGGAAGTTACTTACTGCATGTGACCAAATAAAAGGTTGCTAAGGGAACCAGTAAATGAGGTTGTGTGGAGAAATGTCCCCTAGGAATAGGTAGTTGGTGCTACTTTTGTTACAGTATACATCCTCTAAACATGAGGCCTGGTTTGACTCACAATAAAAGCACAAGACATCTGAACTGGCAAGGAATTGTCCACTTGTTAATGCTTCATAAATTAAAAAATAATTTATTTGTTTACATATAATTATATATTTTTAAATTAGGAAGCAGAGAGAGAGAGAGAGAGAGAGAGGTGTTGAAGTGAAAAATGCTACAATAAGAAGTGTATTGAATTGAAGTGACTATTCTCACCTTTTTATTACTGTAGGTGTAGCTGCAATATCTGGCAGTGAGACGGAGGATGATGACACCATGGATGTCCCACTGGATCTTTCCTCTTCCACTGCATCAGGCAAACGGAGGAGACGTGGTAACCTGCCCAAGGAATCAGTGCAGATTCTTCGGGACTGGCTGTATGAGCACCGATACAATGCCTATCCGTCAGAACAAGAAAAAGCAGTATTGTCCCGACAAACACACCTTTCTACACTACAGGTATTTTTAAAAGCTCCAATTAAAATAAAAATGAGCCTTTGTTTTAACTTCTGAAGTTACCCACTCTGTAGTCTCTCTAAAAATGTTCATATTACAGATGTCATTTTCTTTATATGTTGTTACTGTTTGTGTTGTGGTAGCACCCAAAGGCACTGACTAGGATTAGGACCCTGTTGTTCTAGGTAGTGTATGAACACAATCTTACAGATGATGTCCCTGATACATGCTTAATTTTGCACATTGTGACTAAAGTGACTTCAATGGGTCTACAGACAGTGCATGAAGTTAAGCATGTGCATTAGTCTTTGTAGGATTAGGATCTAAAAGACACTTTGCATACAAGCAAAGTGATCAGGGTGATAAGCACATGTATTAGCAGTATAATTTTCTTTACGCTATTAAAATGGTGACTTTGGGCCTAATCCTACACTTGAGTATATGTAACTTTTATTTATATGAGTCTTCATGATTCATAAAGTCAGTGGGACAATTCACATGGGTAAAGCTATTCATATGCATGAGTGTTTGCAGGATGAAGCCCTTATTTGGGAATTGTGAGTCAGGAAATTTGGGTTTTATTCTGCCACTGAAACATGTGTGACTCTGGGCATTTCACTTAGCCTTTCTGTGCCTCTCTTTCCTCCATTGTAATATGGGCATAACCTCATAGGAAAGCTGAGAGACTTTAGGGCTTGTCTACATTAGCGAGTTTACAGTGGCACGACTGTACTGATGCAGCTGCACCACTGTAAAATCGCTAATGTAGCCTGTCTCCTGCCAAGAGAGTGCTGTCCACACCGGTGCTTCTGTTGGTGTAACTTACGTCACTCCGGGGTGTTTTTTCACAGCCCTGAGCGACATAAGTTATACCAACAAAAGTGATAGTCTAGACAAGCCCTTAGTTCATGAATGCTTGTGCATTTTAAAATCTTTGGATGGAAGGTCATGTAGGATTGCAAAGTATTATTATTAGTGGTAAATTTTATTTTTTTATCTTTATAGAGCAGTATTTTGATATAAATGTTGCAATTAGTTAAGTAAAATCTCTTTAATATAACATTGTGAGGAAAAACTACTTTATATAGAAGTACTTAAAAAAAAAAAAAAAGACGTTAAGTCATCTGTTATTGCCCAGGAAACTGGTTTGATATTTAAACAAGGATGCATTTCAATGAGGTAATTCATGTTATGTCTGTTGACACAGTCAGTTGAGCAGGAAAAATCAGTAACTGTTTGTGGGAGGAGTGGCTCTTTTAATAGAGAAAAGGTTTTCCTGTTGTTAATTAACCTAAATGCAGAGAACAATAGGTAATAGGTTAATATATGTTCAGAGTTAAAAGCTAAACCTTTCACTTCAGGCTAGCAGTCTTCTTTTTTTTTTTTTTTGCAAGGGAGAGAAGAGTTGGGGGTAGAAGAAGAAAGAAGAGAAAGGTTTTTACTAGATGTGTCAGAACTTGTCGATCAGTCTCTTTTGTTGTAGAGTTAAGGAAACTGCTTGGAGGGATTCATTAATCTAACTGAAAGACTCTACTGGCATGTAGTGTGGAAGTGAATGAAGGTAGAAATTAAGATATCATTATGTTCCCAGGTCTGCAACTGGTTTATCAATGCACGCCGCAGGCTTTTACCTGACATGCTGAGGAAGGATGGCAAGGATCCAAATCAATTCACTATCTCACGAAGAGGGACCAAGATTTCTGAAGGCAACCCAGTGGAGTCTTCCACAGGCACAAAAAACTACATTCCATTGTTAGAAGAGAACTCATTTCTTTCTGGTACCACAGGACTAAACAAGGCTGTCTCTTCTAAACCTTCTTCCCCAGGATCTGTTTTGGCTCGACCTTCAGTGATTTGCCATACCACTGTAACTGCATTGAAAGATGCCCCTTTCCTTTTGTGCCAGTCATCTGGTGTAGGCCCGACCACCGACCTGCAGCAGACATCAGCTAGCAGATTCACAGACAACTCTCTTGCATACCATGAGGATGCTTCTAAACTGGGACCTAGTACAACTGCACAAAGTGGCCTTTTCAACACTCCTCCTCCTACCCCACCAGACCTCAACCAAGATTTTAGTGGATTTCAGCTTCTGGTGGATGTTGCACTGAAAAGGGCAGCAGAGATGGAGTTGCAGGCAAAACTTATGGCTTAATTCCCCCTTTTTTTTTCAGGCAGGAATTTAACAAATATGTGATTATTGCTGCCCATGTGATATCAAAAGACTAACTGCATTTTTTATTATTATTATTATTAATCTTATTTGCACAAGGGATTGCTGAAATGAAGCTTCCTGTCACTGAGGTGGTCTTCAGTGAAATATGGTCATTCCAAGAATTATAAACTTAAAGCTACTGTAGAAACAAAGGGTGTTTTTGTTTGTTTGTTTGTTTTTATGTTTCTTAGTAGGTTTTTCATAATGTGAGATGGTTCCCAAGATCATGTGATTTTTGTTTTCGTTTCTTTCAGACTGTGCAATATCTAGTAATGATGTAGACTTCTTATCATTCCTATGTGGAACAGAATATACCGACATGCTGTCTAAAACAAATGTTCAATTTTTTTAAACAATATGAATCTGGATGATTATGCTTTTTTTCCACGATGTAATAAAATATTTTCTTTAAAAATGGATGCATACAGTGTGTTTTGTTGAACAGGAGCTTCACAGGGGACACCAAGTTGTGCTCCAAATATAACCAAAATAGAAAGAAGCCAGCATGAGCTTGAAAAGGATGCCTTCTCTCTGTGTCGATCAGAGACCTACACTAGCAAATTACAAAGTTGTTGTAAAAAGGATATTTATAGGGATGAGGTGGACCAGAGCTACCTGACAGTGTCCTCTTGGGACTTTCAGTGAGATTTGGGCACCTCTCTCTTCCTTAGAAATCCCTTAAAAATCCCAGCCTCATTCCTTAAATATTGCTGAATTGATGTACATTGACAGCTCAGGGGAGAACATTCTCTTGAAGGTGAACTGAAAAGAGTAGACCAGTTGCGTTTGTGCTCTTCACTGGTCTTTTGTGATGTACAGAGAGGGCCTCAGAATTTTTTTCCTGCTTCTTTTCTTACACCAGTAATGTCAGGGGGTTGATTTGCCTGTTTTTTCTGGTAGACTGGAGTGGGATAGACATCACAATAAGTTGAAATATGACGTGCAATTTTCCCAGCCCGGAAGTGAGATATGAGGGATAAAATTTTCAAAAAGTCCGAGTCTATGGGCTCGTGTTGAGGCACCTTTCTGCTTAGGTGCTTAGTAGAATTTACGAAAGCTCTTAAGTGAGTGAGGAACTTATGATCTTTTGTAAAATCACACAAGGTGCCTAAATATCTTTGAAAATGTGTCTGAAGTCACTTCTGAAAATGGGCCTTAAGGTTCTAAATCACTTACCTGTTTCTAAAAAAAATTTACCCTAAGAGCTGCAGCTTGGATTTCAGTCTATTTGAATGTCGCTACCCAACTCCAGTCCTCCAGCTACAAAATCAACCCCCGCCTTCCTCTGAAAAATCAGTTCCCTAATGATTTTACAGTGTTTTGGGGGTATGTCAAGGGGAGGGTCATTCAGGACATCTTTATATAAGTAAAAACAATTTTTTTTTCTTTTGGTGCATTGCAGTAGACTTCAATCCTTTGGAGATAATAGACAGGTCTATATCCTCCTGAGTATTCTTTGGCTGGAAGTCTGGAACTCTTAAAAGATTTAAACTTCATTGCTGCTTTAGCTTTATTTATTCTGCCCATCTCTTGCTCTCCATTCACTTCCATGTTAGGGGTTACATGTGCTGCACTTTTTAAAAACAAATTCAATGGTTAGGCAACTCTTTTGGTTGAAAATATGACACTCCAAGGTCATCTCGTATGTTGTATGTTTAGAAAATACTAACTATATTTGAAGGAAAATAGAAGTATTTTGTATATAGGTAAAACTTGTAACTTTTTTTCAGCATAGGCAGACATAACTGTAGGCACCAGGGAGAATGTACCTTGTTTTCACAGAAGAAGCATTTTCAGGTTCAGAAACTTTCTACACTGTTGTTATTTCCCAGCCTGGCTAGACACAGTTCTTTCTTCTTTGTGCTGTTTTTATTGGAATACCTATACAAAATGTTTAATTCCAGTTTTATAACTACCTGTAAATATATATCATAAGTATACTTCTTCATAAGTGTGAGGTTGACTCTCAGAAGGAAAAATCTGGTCATAGATTGTAAGGCCAGAGGAGTGATCATGTAGTCTGACCTCCTGTATAACATAGGTCATAGAACTTCCCTGAAATAATTTCTAGGACGTATCTTTTGGAAAAACATCCAATCTTGATTTAAAAATAGGCAGTGATGGAGAATCCACCATAATGCTTGGTAAATTCCAATGGTTCCAATGGTTAATTATCCTCTGTCTTTAAAAAAAAGTACACCTTTATTTCCAGTCTGAATTTGTCTAGCATCAACACCCCACCATTTCTAGATCAATGAGTTAGAATCAATCAATCAATTGCTAGATCAATGAGTCCATTATTATATATTTGTTCCCTGTGTAGGTACTTACAGATTGTAATCAAGTCACTCCTTAACCTTCTCTTTTTTAAGATAGATTGAACTCTTTGAGTCTATATATCTCTATAAGGCATGTAGTCTAATCCTTTAACCATTCTCTTGGCTTTTTCTGAACCCTCTCCAATTTAGCAACATCCTTCTTGAATTGTGGGCACCAGAACTGGACACAGTATTACAGTATTCCACTGAATGCATCCGATGAAGTGAGCTGTAGCTCACGAAAGCTTATGCTCAAATAAATGTGTTAGTCTCTAAGGTGCCACAAGTCCTCCTTTTCTTTTGGCAGATACAGACTAACATGGCTGCTACTCTGAAACCAGTATTACAGTAGTGGTTGCACTAGTGCCAAATATTGAGGTAAAATATCCTCTCTACTCCTACTTGAGATTCCCCTGTTTCTGCATCCTAGAATTGCATTACCTCATGTTCAGCCACCAGGACCCCCAAATCAATAAGGGAGGAATTGTACATTCTCCTGTGGTATGGGTATTGTCTGAAATGGTGTTAGAGGCTAATTACTTTGATGATCTTTGCTTTGAAGTTTTATGTAACATACAAGAGGGAGATGGAGTTTGCTGCTCACTATCCTGACTCACACACCCCAGGCATTGGGTTAAGGAGAAACTGACCTTAAGCAAAAATTAAGCTAAATGTTTTCTGAAGTGTGTAAACAAGCGCCCATTCACATAGTTTTCCCCATGTAACAGATTACTTCTGGCTGCTGCTAGGGTGTTATGAGTCGGGGGAGGGGTGAAAAATGGAAGGAAACAAGGCCATAAAAAGGCAGTCTTTTCTGAGATCTTTTTTTCATTTCTTACCCTTTTAAATGGGACGTTTACTCAGCAGATTGAAAAATATTAAGAGATTCACTTGCTGACTTCTGCAGTTCCACTAGAATAGCGACCAGCATGAAGGTGCAGGAGGATGAGGGAGAAAGCTGCTGTTTCTCATAGCTAAAATAGTCTTAGCTGTGAAATAAGAACGGTGGGCTGTAGGCCTGATTTTCATTTACCCATATGTCATGGGATCAGGCTAATAATCTCTACTGAATGGTATAGGTACCATTCTGGGGACTTCTTGAATTTGCAACCTATTTTATTTGGGGCCAAACTTTATTATTTTTATTAAAGCAGCAGCTAGACGCCCCAGTCAAGAGTAGAAGCCCTTTGTGCTGGGTGCTACTTAACCATAGAGTAAGGACTCTTCCTGCCCTGAGGAGTTTATTTAATTTGGAGGTAAAAAATGTGACTCATGTCGAAGTGTCTACCAAAATAATCTCAAAAGAGAGTTTTATTTACTGTTTGCTGTAAATTAGCCCTGGTAAGCTCTGGGAAGACTTCTCAACAGATTGGAACAGTGGCGATGCAGTCACTGCGGTACTAGCCAGCAAAGGGACTAAGATGACTTCAGAACAAAACCGTGGCGATAAATTTAGGGTATCAGATGGAGCTAGAGCTCAAAACTGAACATGAGGCCATGTAGCTAATGAGTAAGGCTGGGAGAAGTGTGCCTGCCAGCCACTCAGCCTTGAAAGAACAAAAGCAAAGTTTATTTCAGGAAACGATGTTTAAAAAACATTCAAACAAAAAAAAGAAAAGAAATAATGAGACGACAGAAGCAGCTCTGACAGTTTTTGCTGCTGGGATAACTGGTGCTATAGCTAATTAAAACAAAACTGTCAAGTACTGACCACTACCTAAATTCAAGAGGCACAACCAGATTGACATTTAGCACCACTCGCAGAACCCGAGGAGAGGACATGACACAGTTGTTTACCACATTTGACTAGAGAGCAATAACGTATCCTCCGCTGGAACAGAGTAAGTGACCAGAGAGGCATGACAGACCTATGCCAGTAAAAACAGCTCACTCACAAATTGATCAAAAGCCAAGAAAACTATGTTGCTGAATATCTATAGCTGGAGTGACGACAGAGACAGTCTCTGTCTACTACGCAGAAATGATGAAACTCGACTCAGGAATCTTCAGACTGGGGCTGGTGGTATCACAACTGAGGCTGTATTCTTAAGCTTAGTTCAGTGCAGAGGCCTGGGAGCTTGGAAGCATAGCAGCCAGCTTCGTGTGCTGAAGGGAATAGTCTCACTGCCAGCACTGCACTCTCTTGCTGGTGCTAGGGGCCATTCTCATCCCACTTTCCCCACCCTGCCCTTCTAACAAGCCGCAAGGAGGGGTGGAGCTAGAGACTGGTCTAGCTCACTTGAAGTCGGAGCAGCTTGTTTCCAGGCGCCTGGGTGGCACTGACCCAACTTCTGGAGTGCTGCATGAGCATGAATTGAACCGGGAGAGTGAGAAGTAAGGGTGGAGTCGGTACCATGCTGAATGGGAAGAGGTTTGAAGGAGAAAGGAAGCAGAACTTGGGATCTGGAGGGAGCACCAGTGGAGAGCATAACAGGAATATGTATGGCCTGGAGAGAGGGAAAGAATACCCAAAGTCTGTAACCAAATGATGTGGGGATGTACTGCCTATGTTGTATGTGTACGATGAACATACTGAGTATTAGTTATACCTATTGTGTTTATGTCATTTACAGTTAACAGCACATTGTATAACTCAAAAGTTTGTATTGTTCAGATTATTGGTCTGCATGTTTCAGCATTCTGTGCTGGCTTTCTGCAAATGCTATAAACATATTTCGATATTAGCGTGCAATTCTTTTAAGATCCATTTCAGTTTTTTCTCCATGCCAATGACTGTTTCAATCCAGTGTGTATTACGTTTGTTAACCTTTTCTCCTTGTTGCCAGAAGTCAAGTCCACAAACACAGCAAATGTTGCTGGTGCAGAATGTTACTTGTTTTAAGTCTGTTTACTGGGTTCTCACGTTCTTATGTCTTCATCCTGTTTCACTGGTTTAGCTGGATCTTTGCCTGTAGCTCCAGTATTTAGATTAAAATGAAAGAGGTTAGATTATCCACAGTCTAGTGCAATGTCACTTAATCCTGGCCCCATTCTTGATGTAATAATTACATTAATGTGTGCTGTATAGTCTCCACTGTCCACTTGAATAATCCGTTCCATGTCATGACTGGGATTTCCTCACAGTTGTGCA